CTAGGTGATGCACATCCAGTGGGACTGAGTAGCTCCCACTTTTTCTGTCTCAGCTACTTACTGTATCAGATCTCTGGGGAAAGGACTGCCTCTTGTCATGTTTATGTACAAGTCCTTACATACAGGAACCTGGGAAATGCATAAGATAAATAATAGGGCCAGTTTCATGGCACTGAGCTCCAAAGGGGTGTCTGACATACAGTAACGCAGTTATGCTGCAGTTTCACAGTGGATGAAGACATTTTAATGGAAAATGCTGAACAACTCAGGAGCTCCCCAATCATATCCAAGGGAACCTTTGTCATCTCAGATATCTGTCAGACTCTGTTCAAGCTCTATAGCACCTAAATATTGTCATCAGTGAGTGGTTCCTTTGTTTACAAAAAATCAAAAAGTGGCCTTGGCATGTTTCCTGTCTGACAGATGGCCATGCCTCAGTCAGCACTAACTTCTGCCTTTCCTAGCTATCTCAAAAGACTGACATTGCAAGAAAGTGCAGAAATGGTACAATCCCTTGGAGCTGCCCTTCCTGCTCAAGGAGTGGTCTTATGAATAGGGATGCATTAGTGCTAGTGGAAGTAAGGTTTTCTGGAAGAATCCCAAAAAATCCAAACATGAGAACTACCTGTAGTGGGACGAGGCACAGATGGCAAAATAAAAGCAGTGTGCTTTTTTTGAGTAGCCAAGTCTCTGGACATCTGAGCTCTTGGACATATGAATAATTGGGGCACTTCAACTGAATTTATGTATCCTATCCAAGAGAAAAGTAGATAGAGACAAACCTTGCAAAAGACTTGTGTGTGTAAGATGGTTCTGTCTCACTTGAGCCAAAAGGTCCACCTGAATTATTTTAGTACCAGTTGTAAAGTCCTACATCCTGTTTGCTTCATCTTAGACAGAATACAGGAGCTATGTTTTCTTGCTTCAGGTTAGGCAAAGATTGACAGTAACTGTGGTTCGATTCTTCCTCTGCTGCAAAGAAGTGTGCATATCCAGTACTAAAGAGTAAATGAGAGTTTGAAGGAATTAAATAGTTTTCAGCTAAGCTACACTGTTCACTTGGCCAAAAAATAATACATTTTATTTTTCCTTTTGCCGTAAATACATAACAAGAACAAAAATGCCCAGCTTGTGGGTAACCTGAACTTCCATTTTTATGCTGGTTCCAGGACTATGGGCAAGCAAAACAACACAAACTTCAGCACCCCCACCTCAGCTTTTTTCTTTCTCAGAAATTTAAAATCACTCCTGGCTACATCTTTGAGGTCTGATCCAATTAAATGGAAAGATCCTTGTTGCCTTTGGCAGGATCAGATTACACATTTTTGTCTGCTTCCCGACTGCTCCATATCATCATCCAGAGTTATAACCAAGTGATGTGTAGTGCAGACACCATCAGTATCAATGATACCAATGGGATTTTGGACAGGCAAACCCTTAGGGTGCAGGTTTGCAAGCCGTAAGAGCTACACTCTTCTGAACTCAGTTTCCTGCAGCCCAATCATGTCCTTTAAGTGATGAACAATTCTTGCAGTCTTATAGCTCTGCTTTGTGTTTTTGTGGCTCACTGCTGCTCTGGATACCAGAACACAGCCCTGGTCTCCCAGATGTTCTCCTTTCTGTCTCCCTTGGCACCACAGGAGTAAAGTAAGGAGGAGACTTAGCAGAAGGTTTGCAAGGGAATATTTAAGACAGGTTCTTTTGCTTGAAGGAGATGATTTCTTTCTGATCATCTCAAAGGTCTGGGCTCCAGTCATGTACTGGAATTGTGGAAAGGAGCAGCACTTTGTCCTCCCTTCCTTCACTGGTGATAGGTGGTGCTGCTGCTCTTCCTAGAGCCCAGTGATGCACTTGCAGCTCTTTATCTTTCTACTTTCCTACTGAGTTTCCTTTCCCTGCAAGGATGTATACCACACAGGAGATGTGATTTTGTTTGAATAGCTGGGGACAACAGCCTGACGTTTCCCAAAACAGCTCTCATGAGTGTTTTAGAACATCAATAAGAATTGGCCAATTGATGGCAAGCTTAGCACAAGTAGGGATGCAGCTTGATTAACGCTTCTTATACCACAGGTTAATTCCTTCCTTGGTGTTTCTTTGGCAAGAGAAGATGTTGACAAGACAACAGAGGATGAAGTATGTTCCAGTCTGTAGGTTTTCAAGAAAAGATTAGATGTCTCACGGAGTGATATGGTTTAGAGGGCATGATGATCTTAGCAGTCTTTCCAACAAAACTGATTCTGTGCTTCTACGATAGATGCAACTTTTGTTATTGCTCCGATAGTTGCTTCTGATGCAAAACTCACATGGAGCAAATAAGGCTTAAATTCCTCACTGACAGGAAGGTTTTTCTATCATGGTTTTCCACGGTTTCCCTGCACTGAATGAAGAGCGTACATTTGGTGCACAAAGAATGGGAAAGGTGGAAGGGATAGTGTTACAGAAAATGATTACTCTCATGTTGATACCAAACCTTGCCTCGATATCAGTATGGAAAACACTTCATTTTGGAAGCATGAGGGGAAACAAACAGGATCATGGGATGCGGTTGCCTGAAAGACAGAAAATTGAATACAGAAGTCCCTTCCCTGCTCTATTCTGGGTAAATGCAATGTTTTTCTTCCAGATTAAAATCTAACAAGCCCTTTTGGAAATCTTGCCGCATTTCCTCCAGTCAAGAAGAAATAGTATTTTGCCAGGAATTCATCAGCCATCCAAGCCAGCTGATAGCTCCAATCAGTAACAGTAATGCTGGATGATAAGGATTTGCACTGTAGCAGCTAGAAGACATTTGGTTGCAAGCCAGCACCCCTACAGTTTTGCTCCGGCAGGAGCAGAACAGAGAGACAGTCTTTTTCCTAAAAGTCTTACTCAGTTGAGGCTTAATGAATGCAGCTCACAGGCTTCCATTCCTGACAAAGGAAACGTGAAAAGCACTTTGTAGAATCAGAGTAATCATAATTTGAGACTATTTTTTTCCGTATTTATCCTATCCCAGTGTCTATTACAGAAAGAGACTGTTTTCCTTAAAGCCTCCCTGAAGGCCAGAGGGAGTCAGGAATTATACTGAGTGAATATTGAAAGGAGACACTGAAAACAAAGTTAGGGGCTGGAGGGACATGAAGCACTCTGTTTCCAGGGCTGAGCCCAACCTGTCAACCAGGAGGGAGTTTTCTCACCTCCCAGATGCTGATCCCTGCCAGCAATGAGATAGCAGATGGATGATGAGTTTCTGGGGTTTTCATATTTCAGAGAAGGCTGATGACGGAGCTAGCCTAGCTTATCTCCATCATCTGCACTGTGTCCAGGGCTGCAACACAGAGCCAAGTTGTGTCCAGGCCCTGAGATTTCTGATCAGAGCGTGAAGGCAATGGAGTGGGGGAATAAAAGAAAGGATGGTCAGGCCTGATGGCAATATTTGCCCTAATGCAGATTTTCCCATGCAGATAGAGGAAGGTATTGCCTCATTCAGACCCATACTTCAAGGAGATTTATTTGTTTTTTTATTATTATTTATTTTATTTTTTGTTTAAACCCTAGTGGAAATGCTGCAGATGAGGGTGTCTCTTGTGTAAGAGAGGATCCTAGATGCTATCACCATGTCAGCCAAACCAGGGTTCCTGCAGGGTTCTGCAGGACTGTCTGGAAGAAGTATTCCAAGACTTCATGGTTTTAGTTTCCATCAGGGGAACCGAGCTGTGCTGAAAAGGGTATCCTGTAGGAAAGGATTGCTTACTGAAGCTTTCAGAGATAGATATGTGGAATTAAATCTGTCAAAACAAAAATGCTAATCGTTTGTGAAATGTTAAAAAAAAGGAAAAAAAGGAAAAAGAAAAGAAAAAAGAGGAAAAATGTTTGAATGTTCCCAAACATTCAGATATTATTCTGAGCTTTTTAATTTTGTTTCTCCAGAAGAGACAAGGTTTTCAGTTTCCATCTTTTTTTGTGAGATGAAAGATCCCTAGTGATGGGCTTCACTGGTCCAGGAGGATGGAAAAGGCTCATTGCTCATTGGGAGAGAACTAAAATGTTGTGAAAGAGGGGAAAATGGGGCTGGAGGGATTTTCTGCTGAAAATCCCCAAGACAAGCACGAGTTCTTTAGTGTTGTCTTATAAATCTTGAATGCTCTCCTTCAGAAAAGATTTGGCATGGGATATTGTGAGAGTATGAAGAACGAACAGTACACAAGCAGAGAGCTAAAACAGCCTTACCCCAAATAGAGACATCAAAAACACTTGGGGGGTGGGGAGGAGGGAATGTAAGGCCTTGTGTCTCTCCGTGCAGTGAGGAAGGACAGCAATCACCTGAATTGGGCATGCAATCTTCCCACTGCATTTTAAGCCATGGATGTTAAATCATCACAAAAAGTGGTGACAAAGAAGCTTTTAGGAAATTACTTGGCCAGCAGGTTTGCTGGAGATGGGGAGAGGAATGAACGAACCTTGTCTTCCCATTTTATCCATGGTTATTAGGAAAACAGGGAACACACCCCCCAACACTGCAGCAGGCACCCCGGAGTGCTCATTGCCATAGTAAAAAACAGCTGGAGCAAAGAAATAAAGTTCTTCAGAGCTGCTGGAGCCTTCCCAGCTCCCTGGGGGTCCAGGAGCCCAGCGCAGGGAAGGGGTAGAGGGAGAAAAGAAGCGGAGGGTGGGGATCAGCAGTGAGGAAGGCCCCGGAGGAGGAGGAAGAGGGGCGGATAGGGAAAGGTTCCGTTTTTTCCCCCGGGGCTGTGAGGCTGCTCGTGCTGCAGGAGGAAAGTTGGCCCCGCTGCCACGCAGGGCTGCTTCTCCTGTCTCCCTCCGCCTGCCTCCCTCCTCCCTCCCTTTCTCCCTCCTCCCTCTCCTCCTCCTCCATCACCTCCCCGCGAGTTACGCGCACAGTGCAGCCCGGCGGTGCTGGCGGCTCAGCCCTGCCCGGCCCCGCTCTCTGCTGTCCCCCGCCGCCGGGATGCTGCCGGGCACCGCGACCGGGCGCTGAGCCCGGGCAGCCCCGCCGCCCCTCCCGCAGCCCCGGGCGGGCGGATCGCGCTGCAGGTCACCTTGCAGGGAGGAGGAGGTGAGTGACCCCCCCACCCCCGCCCCACTCCCCAATCACCGCATCTCCTCCGGGGAGCGATGCGCCGCATCTCCCCATCGCCAGCCCTCGGAGCGCGGCACGGGGGAAGGGCGGGGGGAGGAACGACGGCTGCCGCTGCGGAGAGGGGTCCCCGGGGGAGCGCAAGGACGCGGGGCCGCCCCCGGGCCGGGATCCTGCCTAAAGGCAGAGCGGGGCGCTGCGCGGCGGTGCTTCCCCCGTGTCCCGCATCAGCCGAGATCGCGGGGTCGGAGAGGGATCGGGTATTTCCCAGGGCCGAGGAGCACCTGGCGAGTTTTCTGGAAGGGAAACTGTGCGTGGGGTCCCCCTTTTTTCCCTTTCCCTGCTGAAATCCTCTCCGGTTCGCTGTGGCGGAGCATCCCTTGATCCCTGCCCTGCGCTCCGCCGAGGGGGGAAAGGTACCGTGCCGTGCCGTGCCGTGCCGTGCCGTGCCGTGCCGAGAAGTGTTGAGCCGGGGGGGGCACGGCCCCTGGGCAGAGCCTGAGCCGGGCACTGCGGGAGGCCCGGCAGCCCACAGCCGCAGCTGCCCTCTGCCCTCAGAGCTCCGCTCAAGAGCTGAGACAAGACACTGGGTTGGGTTTCTTTCCCTGTCCAGCCTCTAGTTTGTGGGCAGTGAGAGCCAAGTTGGAGAGAAGAGTAGGTACAGGCAAGGAGGCAAGAGCCGTCTCCACTATTTAGAGTGGTGACCTTGTGGAAGCCCACTCCTTCCTTCTGGGTACCACTAAAGCATTCCACAAGAGAAGGACCCCCTCCAGGTTGGCAATGCTTTGAGACCTTTCTGGAACTAGCAGTGCAGAAGTGCAAACCCTCCTGGAGCAGGGCTGGTAGGGTGTCAGCCCCAAGACTGTGCTCTAGGAGATGTGCAAAGCTCTATCTGGGACTGGCTTTGTCCCCCCTAAAATCATGGAGCTACCCTTTGTCAGGAGTTGCCCCAGAGAGCAATCTGTTGAACCACCTCTTCAGAACAACTGGAGGGGAGGCTACAGCCTCAGAGTGTAATGAGAGAGATGAAAAAAAAAAAAAAAAACAACCAACCAAAAAAAACCAAATAACAACCAACAAGATCTGAACTTCCCAAGAGATTAAATATTCAAATCACAAATAATTAGACATTAATCCATTGTAAACAGGGCATTACCAACAATTAAAAGATGCTTTGATATTCTTAAAGCCGAGAAGATGACTTAACTGGTACTTTCCAGGGGATTACTGTGTATTATAGAATGCAGCCAGAGCAGAGAATGCTCTGCTTTTCTACGTTCATGTATTTAAATGACTTGTTCTTAATTATAGTTAATGAGCTATCAGCTTCAAATTGGCTGCGTTTGGATGCTCTCTATATTAGTTCCAAATGACTTCGCTCCAAAGAATAAGCCACATCTCATTTTGCTGGCCAAGGTGACGTTTTTTTGGCAGTTTGGTAACCACAGGTCATGTCAGAGTGTGTGGCACATGAAGGCATCTGTAGGAATGAAGTTTTCCCTTAGGAAGCGGGCAAGCAGACGTCTGGCACCGCCAGTACCATAAGCTCTGGGACCAATCTCAGCGAGGCTCTTTGCTATACAAATGCAGATGTAATGCAGTAGTGGTGTACACTGGCACCACCACGCCGCCACGTTTCACATGGTGGATGCTGCGTGAGGATTTAAAACGCTTTGCCTTCTAAGGACAATGTTAGAGAAAAGGCACCAACGTCACTGGGCAAGGGTTTTTGTCTTTGCACTGTGAATTCTTGTCTGTAGATGTTTACAAGTCAGCCATAAATTCCTCTGTCCTGGAGGATTTGTAAGAGTGGTTGTCTGGTTATGAAGATTGCAGTCACATACTGGGACTTCCCTGTTTTGTTTTCTTTTCTTTGGAGGCTCAACATCATACAGGTCAATGTACAGTGCTATTGAGGGGGAAAAAAAAGAGGAAAAGAACTGCAGAGATTTAAAAACAGGAGGACAACCCTCTGCATGTTCAATGATTTTGTTTTGACAGAACAGAATGAATCCTGTGTTTGTGTAAGCGTGTCAGGGCTGAGCTCACATCTCCTGGCCATCAAATCAAATACCTCTCAATACTCTTTCTCTGGTAGAAGCTGGAAACCGCTGCAATGAGATCACAGCAAAATGCTGCCCAGCTAATGTTAATGTCAGTGACCCCAAGGATGCAGGTGAACTGACTGCTACCACCACTGCATCTGGCACAAAAGGTTTAGTGCTGAGAGTTTTGTGTCACAGCACTGGAAGAACAAGGAACTCTGGTTCTTCTCATTGCACCACTAAGGCTGCATTTTAAAATAGTGCTGCAGTACGTGAGAGGTATGACTCCATGCATGCCTTTAGCACTCCCAATTTTAAACATGGCATCACTGTAAATGTGTATCTGTGTGTACGTATCTATATAAAAACCGGGATGTGTAAAGTTCCCTCATTAACCATCCATCCAAATCCATGCTGTAAATTATTTCTGTCCCTAAGCTCCGAGGCTTCAGGTTGCTGTGGCATGAGAATGAGCTGACCGCTGACATGAGGGCACTGGACTCTGAGCAGAGTTCAGTGGGGTTAGGTGGGTTGGTGTGCTGTGATTGAGTAGAGCTCAGACCCCTCAAAAATCACAGTCAATCACAGAATGACAGAATTGCAGGGGTTGGAAGGGATCTCAGGAGATCATCGAGTCCAACCTCCTGCAAAAGGAGGTGCCCTACAGTAGGTCACACAGGTAAATATTCTGAGGGTTCTTGAATATCTCTATAGAAAGAAACTCCACAGCCTCTCTGGGCAAATCCCCAGGGCAATGAAGATCTCTGCAAATTATATTTGCAACTGCATAATTTTCTTGGAAGATAATCATGGGATGATCAACCAGTGGAGCTCCTGAGTGGTCCCCTGCTCGTCCCATGAGATACTCTGCCTTGCACCAGGTCCTGCAGCACAGATGTGCTCAGCATCTCCTGCTGTGTGCAGCAGCTGATGCAGTTCTTGCTCAGTGCATGGGGCACCTACCCCATCCGCCCACCTTTCTTCTCCTATTCCTGCATGCTCAACAAAAAAACAACCTGACTTCTCCCCCACTGCATGTGGCTTGAGGACCATGGAGGTGATGTAGAGCAGAACTGGGAGTAGAACTGGTGCCTCCCATGTGGAAATCTATTTCTCTGTGGGAAAGGTGAAGAAGGAGAACAATGCAGGGCTTTACTTCAAGCTCTGAATGTAAGTGAATGTAATGCCTCAAATGTAAGTGGCTGCTTAATCTAATCATCCTCACCCTGATGAACTGGCACTAGCAATTCCATAGCATCACAGGAGCATTACTATAAGTGACTTACAGCCGTGGAGTGCTTCGCTTGAGGCAGGAGAAGCAAGTACCTTCATTTTGCACAAAGGCAGCATCACCGTGCTGCTTCCTTGCTCTGTCCTCTCTGTGTTTCTTATCCCTGCTTCAGGAAGACCTTAAATCCCAGCCTAGAGCATAGTGATGGTGTGTCACACCCAGAATGAGCACAAGATAGCTGCCTTGTCCTGTGCCTTGCTTCCTGAACACAGTGTGGCAAGGAGAACAACGCTGCAGAGTGGGGTATACAGAGGACCCATCAGGAATGATGCCTGAATGAGTCAGTGGGGTCAGTGCTGGAGCAATACCTTGATGCTGACTTCTGTGGCCAGCATGGTTTTGAGGTCACACAGAAGTACCAGCCTCAGCCAACAGGCAGACAGAGGGCCAGGAGATGTCATGAGGTTGGTATTTGCCTGAACACACATTCCCTGCGTACACTTAGAAGCTCCATTGTGTGCTGCAGAGGTTTTGCCTCACTGCAGGCTTCCACAAGATACAGCATCAGGTTTACTCTAAGCTAGAGAATTTTAATTCTGTTGCAACACCAGGCATTGATGAAATTAGGCAGAGGGGATCTGCAGTAACTCAGTCCTCCCCCAGCCTCTAATTCTAGATTGACCCTCAGAAACAATCAAAGCTCCATAGCGTAGGAACCAACAGGATGGAGGCATTACAGCTTCTTACCTGAAGACACAGCTTATCTGACAAGTGAATAATTACATGCAGTGGAACAAGTACTTCAGCTATGTTTGAACTTTCACTCTGCAAAGCAAGGACTGTGGTTAGGGCCATGAGATTAATTGCTCTGGCACCAAGCTTGGCATGATCAGTGTGGGTCTTAGGTGAAGAGTTCCCCTTGAGCTGGAGCAGCTCTTGGGCAGAGTACTACAACTGGGGAGAAATAACCACCTGTACACGGCAGGGGCTGGTCTGCCAGAGAGGAGCTTTGCAGAAAAGGACCATAAAGGTTGGCTGTGAACCAGCAGTGTGCCTTGGTGGCCAAGAAAGCCAGTGGTATCCTGCAGTGCATTACAAAGAGTGTGGCCAGCCGGTTGAAGAAGGTGATCACCCCCCCTGCTCTGCTGTGGTAAGGCCATCTGGAGTGCTGTGTCCAGTTCTGGGCTCCTCAGATCAAGAAAGACAGGGATCTCCTGGAGGGAGTCCAATGAAGACCACAGAGATGATGAAGGGCCTGGAGCATCTCCCATATGGGGAAAGGCTGAGAGAGCGGGAACTGTTCAGTCCAGGGAAAACAGAAGGCTGAGAGGGGATATTATCAATGCTTATAGTTATCTAAAAGTGGGGAATAAAAAAGATAGGGCCAGGCTCTTTTCAATGGCACCTGGTAACAGAACAAGGGGCAGTGGACACATATTGAAACATGTATGGAACTTCCATACAAACATGAGGAACTTCCTTACTGTGAGGGTTACAGAGGACTGGCAGAAACTGCCCAGGGAGGTGGTGGAGTCTCTTTCTCTGGAAATACTTAAAATGTACCTGGACACTTTTCTGTGCAGCCTCCTGTAGGGAACCTGCTGCAGCAAGGGGTCGGACTCGATGATTTCCAGAGGTCCCCTCCAACCCCTACAATTCTGTGATGACTCACATTAGATGAAATTTCTGTCAGTGAAGGCACT